ATTATTTTTTTGTAAATGCCATTACACTAACCAACAACCGTGCGAGTAGCAATGGAAGCCTAGGAAAAATCCGGAATGTTCTTTACTAGGTACATATACACAAATATGTATATGTAGATACATACATACATACGAGTTTGTAATACATATACCTATTTGATTAGTTTTCGACACGCGTGCACATTTCACTTGCACAATAACGCGCACGCTAAATAATAAATTTCTAATATTATGATTTTGTGCACTACTGTTTAATCAATTGCAGGCAACGAGCTGCCACGATCAGGTGTTCAATTTCAATCAAATAGTAATGCATACTCGTTAAATGACTTGCAGAAAAATGTAAGGGCGACGGCAACGACAACCATGGCAGCGACACCGACAGCGACGTCAACTGCTAACGAAACGAACACCACCCCAACCACCCACACGCTATGCTGTTAGTGTGGAAAGTAAAATAAACAACAGCACTGCTGTCGAACAGCAGAATTTTTTCGTACCAACGAGTGAGTGTTAGCACAGCGAATAATAAATACTTTGACAGACGGGACAGGATGGTGTTGACATCGGCATATTTAGCACAATTTAAAGAATTTACTTCAAGATACTCAAAGTCAAGCAAATATGTGTTGAAAAAATCACTGAATAATGCAAGAAATAAACGAAAATAGTAAAATAGAATTAGAAATAATTTCTAAGCTGTTGATGACGGCGACGACGACGACGACTGCAATGGAGCTGGTACGCGTTAGCACTATGGCTGCCAACAAAAATTTGGGGCAAATCTACATAACTGGCTAAGCAAGCAACTTGAATCTATGAATGTATAGACTGTGTATGTATGTGTGTACACAAATAGGTACATATGTAGTATGTACATATACATGTGTACATATACGTACCTACATAAGTATGTACGTATATACACACAAATGACACAAAATTAACAGTGTAAATCAGCATATGGCTGTCGATGTGAGTTAACTTTATCAATTCATGTTGGTTTTCTGATTTTATTTTATTTATTGTATTTTAATCTATTTTTTATTATTGTTTGTTTCACATTTTTAAGCGACGGCATGGACGCACAACGGATTTACAGCCTCGTGTGACCGCATTTGTGGCATTAAAATGCGATAAACTTACACATATGCATGGATGTACATACTACATTAGACTGCATCACCAAAATAAGTTACGACTTTCCGCCGGGATTACAAAATGTATTATACTTATTTGAAGACTTCCACCTAGGGATTTCGGAGAAATATCGATTTTTTGCTTCGATGCATCGAAAATTTTCCACTCGATGTATAAATAACCGATGTATCGATGCATCCATGTGTTTTGAAAACTGACATCTCTAGTACATTGAACTATCTTTGAAATTTTTCAATTGCACAAAGAAGAGAAGTGACTTTTAACAAAGAATTGAAATGGCACCAAAAAAAGTTACGTTAGAAAAATAATTAGCTCAGTTGCAGTAATCTATTTCAAATTTTGTACTCATAACATATTTTTTGTGCTAATAACATATTTTGCGACATTATCTGGGAAATCCTATGCAAATCGATGCATTGATGTATGCCCTTCGATGCATCGAAAAATATCGATGTACATTTCGATGCATCGAATCAAATATAAACATCGATGTATTTTTACCAGTGACATCCCTACTTCCACCAAAATATTTCGGGAGAATATTAAAATTTATGTACGTGAGCTGAACCGATTTGAAAATACGTACAGAAATGCAGTTTTTTATGAATACAAATGGTTTCTTAAAGTACTTTTTGAAAAAAAAAAATCAGCTCAAATGTCAAAACTGCTTAAACTTTAAAAAAATCTCCATAGAAATATTAAAATTTTTTTTCAACGGAATCATAATAATGAGATTTTTGACATTCTTTTCATCATTTTTCAAAGATAGATTTAAGAAAAACTTGAATTACTCGTTATTTTTGCTTAAAAAAAAATCAATTTTTGGAGGTATGTATGTATTTTCAAATTGGTCCACGTAACGTAAATCTTAATATTTACCGAAATATTTTGGCGAAAGTCTTAGAATATAATAAAATTTATATGTAACAAACAGTACCAATTTTTTTTTTAATGGCGAGTGTTGCGGTCTAATGTATGTAGTATATACATATGTACATATGTATGTAGTATGCATATCAGTAAATCATGTGCTTGTGGTCCTTCAATAACACCCGTTTCAGCACTCAATCAGCACATGGACCACCGCACCGCATTGCACTGCACTGGTTGGTACCTACCAGAGTAGTCAGTTGCCGCAACCGCAAAATTGCCGGCGCTTAAACGCATCGCATTTGCCGCCGGTGTTCGCTAACAATGCTCTATGAATAAAGCGACTGTAGTGAATTTAAGAAAAGTTATATGCTCAAAGATTTTTAGTAAAGATATATTATGTACGTGCATGTTTTATTTGTATACAAAAAACTGAAACTGAAATTTGACACTAAAAATTATGCATAAATTATGTTTATGTGTTTTCCTTTGATAATCTTGAATACTCCAAAACTGAACACCGCTTTTATGCGCTTATTTGATTAAATTTGAAATTAATCTGTTGATGGTTCTTGTTAAAAAATAGTTTTTTTTAGTACACAATACATACAGACAGAATTTTGTTGAGGGTATTTCCAGATAAAAGAAGAAAACGACATAAAATTTAAAATGCTAAATAACTAAATCTCATTATTTTGTTGAAAAGTAATAAAAAAAAAAGCTACGTCATACATAACTACTTTACACCAGTCAGAGGGACCTGTCCCACTCAAAAGACACCTCTGTCCCAAAGGACTAACCCAGTTGAAGTTGCACAACTCCTGGGTCTCCCGTTAATTTAGCTTGACGACAACGATTGAGGGACAAGCCCTGCCTAGGCTGACCGGCCGCTACAACCACAATCTGTCTCACCAGTCACAAGTTGAAATATTTTAAAATATTTTTATCAGCGTAATTTTTTATGAAAACGGAAGCTTATAGCATACATTTTATAACACAAAAATTGTGGCTTAAAAATTAATTGTTTTGGCTAAAAGTCGCCTTTGACTCCGTAAAGATGAATTTTCAGTGTCCCAACAGTCACATTCATTCAAATAATAGTTACAAAGAACTTAGAAATGGTTTGGTATTTTTTTGGAAAGGAATTTTATACCTTGCTGCCGGTTTCACGAAAGCAATTTAGAGAAAAATTTTTGTTTTTCTGTCAGTTTCCATATTAAGTTCAAATAAATAAATCGTTTTGCACTTAAATTGCTTACGTGGAACTGATTAGTAATTTATTTATCTTTAATATCTTTCAATATTTCGACATAGGTAGTTATAATTCACAATTTATCACAACCTGCAGTCCAATGGCCCACCAATCACAAATATTAACCTAATAACTTAAAACTAAAACTTGAACTAAATATTTTTTCTATATAAGATACTATTTTTTATATTTTATTTACTTAAATACTACTCTTTATTCGCGTTTACTTGATTTCTTTTAATTAATCTGCTCATAATTACTGTATGGCGTACCCTCTAAAAACTAAAAAAAAAAAAATATTTTTTTTTTGTGCACAATTCAAATAAGTTTTTTTTTCTAATGGCAAAACAATTGTTTTTTACTACTTTTTTTTATTATTAATAACAATTCATGCCTTTAACACCGTTCTTATGCGATTGTGTGTTAAATTATCGCTTGCATTGCTTATGCTCACAACATATTCTTGCTTACAGATAAGTTTTCGCGCCAGCAATTAAAACCGAGATTTTTAATTATAAGCTAGCCAAGGTTATTATTTTGTTAGCATTTCCTATTTTGTATTTTCTTTATTAATTATTCATGTACTGCACACTGCTTTTACGCGTTTCTTTTATTGTGTTTTCAAATAATCTGTTGAAAACTAAGAAAAAAAATAATACTAGATTTTCTTGTTCCATTGACTGATAAGTTTTTGCGTCAGAAACAACAATTCAACTAAAAATTATGCACAGATTATTTCTTAAATTTTTTTGATTGTTTTCATGGCTTTATTAAAATTTTTTGTTTATTTTTATAATTGATATTTTTATTATTGACACCGCTTTGACTTGTCTATTTGATTGCGCTTTAAATTAAACAGCGCATCACTTTTATGTATGTACCTTCATTCGAACATACTATATTTGTTTTTCGATTCAAAGGTTTTCGAAACTATGTAATTTCTTTTAATCACTTTTGCGTATTATTTATTTTTCCAAAATTTACAAAACATGAATTAAACATTTTCACTAGCGCACAAGAGCATCACTAAGGCATATAGCACACAAATCAATAAGAAAAACAACACCGCAATAAATTTTCCACTTTCAACATTTTGTTTCTTTTCACAATTTTTTGTACACATCACATTTTGAAAACCGTGACTGCTTCACTTTTTTAAGCATTGACCTCCTGCCTGGCGCAACCGCCGCTGCCGTCGTCACGCGTTTTCTATTGCCGCATCTTACGGAGGAGCTGCTAGTCGTTTGTAAACGCCGCCGCACCTAGCTTTTGCCGTACATACGACAAGCTAATGGCGCACCTAAGCGCATACCCCGCTAGCTGGTATTCAAAGATTTTCTCACCCCACAACAATACAGAGAGAGGCACGGCCACACAAAAACTAAGCCTTTCCAACTCCTCCTCAGCAATCGAACTTACATAAAGAAAAAAATTGGAAAAAATATATAAAAAAATTATTAACTACCGCCAGCCATGTCACGCTGCTCTTTGCACTCTTGCACCGCGGAAGCAAATTAGTACAAAAAATTACAAAAAAAACCACACACACAACACACAAAAGCAATAAAAAAATATGCACGTAAATTAAACCGAAATATGAGCTAAAACAAACGTCACACCAAATTCATTGCGCTTTTTCCCCCAAAATCGCTAACTACTTATGTACCTAAAAGCACGGCGTGCACACGCGATTGCGACGAGTAGGCATGAAGTACTATTTGCACAATGTCGGTTAAAAATCGTTTTCGACGTTGGTTGGATGATATTGGTATTGGCGCTGACGACGTCGGTGTGATGTCGATTGCGCAGGCAATGTCGATGGTTGGAGGCGCTCTTTGCCAAACCTGGGCGATTGTTCATTTTTTTCCTCTTTTCTCCACATTTTTGCCTTCGTTTATTGGTTAATTTTATTGTGGTTGTTGTTATTAGTAGCGTCGCTAAAATGCTTTCGTCGACGACGACGACGTCTTCGCGTGCGATTTACATTCGCGAGGACCGCCGCTAGTGTCGTCCGTCAGCCAGCGAGCGTTATTTGTATGTCCAAATTGCATGCGCACAAATAAATCCACAAAAACAACTACACAAACACAGGTATGTGTATATTCACATGTGTAAGTGAATTTCATGTACATTTCCATTGTAGTTTTCCACCGCGCCAAACCGCTGACGCACCCAATAAGCGACGGTCGCCAGCCACTAGCCAGCTTATGTCCGCGTTCGCCACACAAGCTCCCTGACTGACTTTCCCTTTCCTTTATTCAATTTCTCACCTACCACAATTTCGCTGAGCGCAGCCAAATCTTGCAAGCTGCGCGCACAGGAAGGGGCCCAGGCGGCGTAGGCAGCAGCTGGCTGAGCGGGAGGTAGGGAGAGGGAGGGCCGGGGCCACTTGCTGGGTCGTTGGTATTCGATTTCTCTACTCGCCGCTGTATTTATTTTCGATGTCCGTTATTTCGTTGTATTTTTATTTATTTATTTATTATTTTTTTTTATTTTTGCAGTCTTTATTGCGCTTATTCGTGTTTTCATCATCAATTTTCAATGGCTGCACTTGGTCGGCAACATTGTTGTTGCTGCAAAGCGAATTTCATTGAAAATTGATTTCGAAATCGGCCCCACCACACATGCATGCATGCACATGGACACACACACACACACACACATGTACCTACACTCACACTCCCAACCACTGCGCCATGTACGCTAGCTTTTATATTGGTTTTGAAATTTCTATTACATTTTTTGTTGTTATTGTTGTTGTCGTATGCACACTGTATATCAATTTATTTCACTGTTTTTGCAATAGGCATTTTTTTTTTCACAAAGTCTATGCTCCGGTATTTTAACGATGAGATTTCGGCTATTTCGGCCCAAAATGCGTTGGCTTCCGCCTACAATATTTTAACTTACAAGTTGGTTGGTGTGCGTGCGGAAATTCTCACAAAATCTTCAATGCACATTACCGTTAGCAGCAGCCGACATGTATGACACACACAACTAAACTCACATAAATATGCACAAGTAAACACTGTTGAATTGACAAGCTGACCGAACGAACGAACGAACGAACTTTGTTTTGTACAATCACTCGACCGACTGACCGTATCTATGTACAGATATATGTACATACGTGCGACGTCCACGTATAAAAGTTCTCCTTAACAGCAAGCATACCAACCCACTTACACCCAGTGTCCATCAAATGTACTTATGTATGTACGTACACACGCGACTTATTTTGTCTAACAATAAAACTAACCGTTACTCACACTACATATGTATGTATGTATGTACATGGAACACCCCATCAACCTTGCGTAGGCAGGCAAGCTAGCAAGGGCAGTGAACACCCCCAACCACATTGTGCAAAGTCCTCAGCTACAGCTATAGTCACTTTAAAATGTAACCCCACGTGCATGCCCAAACGTAGTAAGTGTATGCGCTCACTCGCGCCCACTCGACCGTCTCGAAGTTACACGAATAATTTAGAATTTCTTCTTATTATTCCTACACACCCACACACACTCAGGAAAACGCAAGACGCCCCCTCGCTATTGCCTAGCACCTTCACTAAGCTAGGAGGCACTCGTCGGCATGCCATTCCATGCAAATGTGTATGTAAATAATACCTAAATTTTAACCACAATCAACCAACCAACCAACAACTTACTCTTGGTTCACTTGGTCTATGGGCGGCTGGTCTTTACTACTTTGGGATCGCACTTTTCACCAGATGTACCGTACGCTTCTAAAGACGAATTGATACTAACTGCTGGCCACAGTCAGCTGAGGCAATGAGGCTGTCGTCGTTCGGTGCTATCGCTCAGCAGGTCTACGTCTACGTCGACGTTGCTGCCAATGTCGACGAAAACATGCTTAAAACAACAATAGTATATTCACTCATTCGCGGTTCGTTTTTATGTTGCGCTCAGCTGTTTGTCATGGCCTCTCATAAGAGGGATGCCATACTTATTTTGGTTTGGTTTGATTAAAATTTAAGAGATTTTCTTGGTATTAACAATTGCTGAATGAATTGCTTTGGTAGAGTCGATGGATAAAAGTGGGAGGGTAAGAGAGAAAATGGTATTTACTTGGTAGTGGGGTGTCTGCTTCAGCGAGGTTTATCCGCAGGGAGACAGCATCAGATGAGTGCAGGTTTTAGTGTCCTACAGAGTAGAGCGATTAAGTAGGAATTTGAACTGCTACAGTGTTTAGAAGGTAGTTCGTCTAATGTAACGTTAACCGCAGTAGGCATTTCGAGCTCTGCGTCTGAGGTAAGCCATTGGTGGCCTCGGGATATATAATTTGTAGAGCGAGAACTTAGCTAATAGAAATCTAACAGGAACAACCTAGTTGGTCTCATATTACGATATATCGGGATCGAGTCTGAATAGGTAGGAGTTAAATCTGCTACGGTATCCAGACCTTAGTTATGCCGGAGTTACGCGGATCTCATGCAACAACTGAAACACTTTGTCTGTGATGGTTGAACTCCTAATCATCTCTTTATGAATACCATGGATGGCGTGCCTGAAGGGACTGACTTCATCACCTTCGCCCTACCAGCCCCCAGCGCCTTGTACTCATATGTTTATTTGCCTCCTTTTTTAAGTGCTGCATTGCAAGAAACAGCATTCGTTGACAAATTGGCGAGAAAAAATACCTTAGAAACAGTGAGCGAAAGTTTCCTCTTTGTCAGAGAGACTTCAAGTCAGCCAAATGAAAGTTGGGCAATACAAACAAAGAGTATTTGCACCGAACAAGAGAGTAGGTTACGACAGAGTGTTACCATGCTTAGAGTGGCTTAATAATGCCACCTTTAATGTAATAGAATGACAAATGAAGTTTCCCGAAACTATGTACAACCCTGCATAAAAAAGAATTATAAAATACTGCAGGAGCCTACGACCGCAGTTTTTTTGGAGCTGGCTGCTAATTTGGCTATACTTGGACTGGATCAATACTCAGTGGGGGGCAAAATAAATTAAGGACAACTTGTTCTGCAGGTGCTTAGGATTTTAGCTTACCATACAAGCATATGTATATATATCATATGAATGCAAGTAGTTACATATCGCACACTTAGATCTAAAATGAGCTAACTCAAAATTCAGAGAGGGAAATTTAACTTCTTGTAAATCGTACAGATTCAACGCAATTAACACAAAAACAACTATGACAGTAGTTTTTTAGTTAGTGTGCATATATAAACATGGATAAAAAAATATTTCCATTAATTGGATGTGGGTTCTATAAATTGATCTATGCGAAAAAATCGCCGAAATTTTTTTTTAGTTGATCGCACTTTAGATCTATGTGTGCGATGGGTACATATGTATTTAATATATATGTAAATTTTATATTTTTCAGTGGATTTTTAAATTGTTACGTTCTGGCATCTCTGCAGCAGTAAATGAGCACAAAACAGTAGAGAGCAAACTCAATGCTGGGCAAAACGGCGCACGAATGCGCCCCTACTGTGCGCCGTCAACATACCCACAAACATGCATTCAAACATGCATGAATATATTTATGTATAGGCATACATATGTATGTATGTATGCAATTTAGTTTCTGGCTCAAATATATTATTTCAGTATATCTGGCCGGCTGACTAGGCCAACTAGTGAGTCCAACAGTCAGTCACTGATAGCGACTAAATACACAGAGAGTAAATATCATAATGGAGCGAATAAATACATACATACATGTCTACATCCCCACACTCATATGTATGTATGAATGCATGTACATATGTATAAGCATTTGTGGAATCTGGCCCCTCCATTGAGACTGCCCGGGGCGCACACGCATGCATCATTGCTCACTGCAGCGACTAATTACAATAAAGTGCCGTTGATAAGCAACAGCAACAGCAGCGACAGTGGCAGCGGCAACGGCAACTGCAACTGCAATGGCTATAGTAGCACTAGCAATGGCAATATGTAATAACAGCAGCAACAACAGTTGCATCAACAGCTCAACGCATTGTTACAGCATCTCAAGTGAGGGGACGACAGCCTCTTCTCGTTCGGTTGCATTGTTGTTGAGCTGCTGCTCTCCTCATTCAATTGGGCGAATGCAACGGCATTAATGACGTTGACGTGCTGCTGCTCGTTGTTGTCGTTATAGTTGTTGTTGTACTGTGCAATTCGACCGCTAGCCGTGCGACTGACTGTGCCCCTACCAACAACACAAATTAATAGAAAAGCACTCTGCGCAATACAGTGTATCGGTTTCAAATTTATTTAGTGAGGAGTTTGCAAAAATAAATTAAATTAAATACACTTTGCATGGATAACCGTGTCAAACGTGGGAAAAATGTGTATGGTATTGTAATTTTTATTATCTACTTGTTAATATTTGGATTTTTAGCGATATGCATTGACCTTGAAATTCCTTAAAACAATGTTTGGAAAATGTATGGTAGCCGATCAGTAAAAATTAATGTTAAGAAATTTATATGTAAATGCGTGCGTTCAAGTACATATGTATGTACATACAAACTCAAATATGCACATATGTATGTACATATGTGAGTCAGACGGCAACTGCATGATTAACAATGAGCGAAATAGAGTGAAAAACAAATAGAGAATAATTGTGAGTGGCGTCAAAGGAGGGGTGCAATGGCATGGCAAAACTATTAAAGCAACAAGAATCAAATGAAATGCATCAAACAAAATAAGTGCATGCAATGGAAAACGAAACGGAAAATAAAATGAATAAAAGAAAGGCTAGATCTAGAGTGAGAATTGTCGAAAAACATTAAACAAGAAAATTTATGACACAAATATTTATGTATGTTGCTAAGTAAAGGTGCATTCTAGAGATCAAAATAGCAAAATTTCTTAAAAAAAAAAAAATAAATACATTAAAATTTAATGAGTATGAATAAATACAGGCAGAGCTGCCAACTATCCTAAATTTTGCAGGAAATGGTTATGGTAGAGGCAAGGTCCTATCCCACTAGCCCTTTTCCCCAGAAATGATATCAATAACCTAATTGTTTCGGACGGGAAATTTAAAATAGAGTTTTGCGCTAAGGCGACCTGGAGCAACGCCAGTATGGAATGGTATATAGTACAAGGCAGCACCATGTAATGGTACACTGACAGCCCCAAAACACCAGAAGGTACTATTGGGGCAGGCATTTATGGTCCCAGTATGAAGCTATCCATGCCCATGGGCAAATACCCGAGTATTTTCCAAGCGGAAGTATACGCCTTCAATCGGTGTGCAGAGATCAACTTACTTAGAGACTAGCATACCTAGAGTATCCTAATCATTAGCGACAGTCAGGCAGCACTTAAAGCATTATCTTCCTTTGAGACAAAATTATCTTTAGTCCTTGAGTGCATTGAGAACCTTAACACCCTTGCTTAATTCAATACCATCCAGCTGTAGGTGCTAAGCAACAGAGTATATAAGGGGATGAGATAGCTGACGGCTTAGCCAGAACAGCGGCGACCTTGCTTCGATAGCTCCCAAGCCTTATCTTGCAATAGGCCCGAACACTATTAGGAATTAACTTAAAATAGGAACATTGGGTAGAAGGCAAACACCAACAGAACTTCTCCAGGCCAAAAGCTTACTTGTGGATTTAATCAAAAGGATATAAACTTTTAGTTACCCTCCCAAACACACAAACTTAGAATTACATATTACAGGCATCCTCACTGGACACTGCGAATTAAGAGATCTCCGTAAGCAGGGAATCTGGTCGAACGATCTCTGTGGATTCCAAAGGCTCTCTTGGACTACCTGGTACCCGTTAGATTAAAAGTAGTATTGTGATGACAATAGGGCACAATATCCTTAGCTATGAGGTGCCAAATTGAGGATAAAAAAGTGTCAAAATGTACCAAATAGAAAAATAAACATGCCAAAAAAGGCGCCATTCTTTTTCATCCTTCCCATTTAGCAATAAAATAAGAACCAAATTTCTAAAACAAAACTTCAATGCCAAAATAAGATAAGCTAATTGTATAAACTTTAGAAATTAGAAAATACACGCAAAGGTTTGCACAAAAATGTATTTTGAAATGTTACTATTAAAAAAATGGCATGGTTTGAGCCCAGGTGGAAGGCCTGGGTATAGATAGAACAGTCTTAGAGCAGTTGTGCCAGAGTTATGCGAAAGCGCCTCATCTGCATTGGAGGGCGAGAGTCTGTAAAGGTGATAAGAGACTATATAAGCCTAGGATGCGATTTTTTAGCCGGGTAAAGCTTGCACTTATATCACTAAAATTTTGTAAGCCTGTTAACTGCATACCCAAAAAATGTATACAAATTCTGGTTGAAAAGCTCGAAATTTAGATAAAAATTTTTGGATTTTTTCTAAATTCTGTATAAAGTTAGAAAGTGTGATTTATATGGTTTTTGTTAAAGCATGAATATACATACCTACATATATAAACAAGTAAGAGAGTCTAGGTTCGGGCGCTCGGGTATAAAAAAATAAAAAAAAAAAATTTAGCTTGAAAAACGTTGTAAATATTAAAAAGGAAACACCATTCATCCACTTTTGACTGCCACTATAAATACATATGTATAGTTTTCTTTTAAAAACAATAAAAAGTATTTATTTAAAAGTTATTTATATAAAAGAAAATTCAATTAAAAAAAAATTAAATTAAAAAAGAATAACGCAAAAATATTTTTAAAAACTAAATGCAATAAAAATAAAAAATGTTGAAACTTAAAATCTTAAATTAAAATTAGATATAGGAAAAAAATAATTCGAAAAAGGGAAAACTAGTTAG